AAGCACGTTGATGATCATATCCGTATTGGTGTTGGAGGATTAAATGTGGTTGTATCAATGGTAAGAGTGGTTGGCGAGATGGAACGATAAGAAACAAAAGAGAAGATGATGAGAAAGAGTACAAGTCATTTTGAGAACAATTTTGTTTCTAGAATGCTGGATATCCACCTATCATGGAGACAATTATATTTCCACAAAAGAAAATTTTCCCACTTTTATTTCTAACCAACAAAATGTTTGTCATCTTATATATGTTAAAATAGAGATCTCTTCACATGGCTTGGAGTAACGAGATGTAGGCAGCTTTTACCTCTCTTTTCTCTACAAAAACACACAATCACGTACACACACATGCACAAGTGATAGTACAAGAATTCAGTTACTATAGGACAAAATTATCCCCTATGATAGTCTAAACCATAATTTGCTAACTTCTAATGCTGGTATGTCCAGTTCGTAGAGATTGTTAAACGTCCATGTTTGGAGCTTGCAAACAAGTTATTTTCAATAATATAAAAAGAATGACAGTTTTACATCCAAGACTTAAGGTTCTCTTAGGTGCATGTTATTTTCGTAGAGATTGTTAAACGTCCATGAAATGTAGTTGGAGCTTGCAAACAAGTTATTTTCAATAATATAAAAAGAATGAGAGTTTTACATCCGGTTCTCCTAGGCGCATGTTTCTTCATGTGAGGCTAAACTTCATTTTCTTGTAATGAGATTGCAGTATCCAACACCGTCTCTCTTCCACACCCGCCCTTTCTCTCTGCAGACCTGGGCATGCATATCTCATATTAAGTTAATTTCACATAACCCCCCTAAACTTTAGGGTGTTGCACATAGTCCCCCTGAACTTTATTTATCTCACATAACCCCCTTGAACGATGGGGTGTCTCATAAAACCCCCTGACCTTCACCTTATCTCACCTAAGCCTCCTGCCTGTAATTTGCAAATAACTAAAATGTCTTTAAGTGAAAAAGGGAAAATCCCAAACTCTGTCACTTGTCATTTATAGGCAACATACACTCTCCCCTAAATTTTGAGTTTTTCCTCTCAAGAAAATTTTAGTTTTTTGCAAATTTCATGTAGGGGGGACCAATAAGAAAAATTCAAAATTTAGGGGGGTTTTGTGAGACACCCTAAAGATAGGGGGGTTATGTGAGATAAACAAAGTTCAGGGGGTTATGTGCAACACCCCTCAAAGTTCAGGGGGGTTTGGCGAAATTAACCCTATATATTATGTATACACACACAATGACAAGGTTTTTGAAACATACTTTCTGGTAGGGAATATGAGTCACTGTACTGGTGTCTGAGATCAGCCAGTATCATATGCAAGCAACGTAATAAAATAAAAGAAACTAACTTTAGATTACTTTCAGGATAAGTTTGCAAAGATTGGAGATTTTATTTAAGGAATTTTCTTTCTTGCATGCTTATTCTGCTTTGTTATTAATTTGGTTATGGTATGAAGGGAATACAACTGGATGCTATTTTGCCTTTTTCTTATGATTCCTAACACTCATGAAGAACATCCCAAAGCAATATGCACATGTTCCATATTTTTGATACTCTTTGATGATGTTATTTACTTGGACTCCATTAAAAACTATTAACCTATTTTCGACCCATTTGTGACACTTGAAGAAACATATCCTAGATACGCAGTCGTTACTCATTTCGTTAGAATAGGGTTCTGGCTAGATCCCTTCCAATACAAAAGAAAACACGTTCAAACGTCAAGATCCTCTTTGCTTATTTTTTATTTTTCACTTTATCCTCTTAGTTTCTTTTGACTTTCTTTCCCTCAATTGAAGTTTTTAGTTTAATCTTTACGTTCGAGCCAGCATAAGGCCCTAATGTAAGAGTACCATGTTCGCTATCTTTCAAGTTTTATTCATTTTTTTAGCTTATTTAAAAGTCTAAGTGGTAGCGCACCCATCTTTGGGGCTCCTTTCTGTTAGAGCTTTCTGCATGTTGCTTGTATCTGTGAGGCCTATAATTTGTTGTCCGGACTACATTTATATTAAACTCATTTTTATATTCATAGACATGTGAGCGGAAAGCATAATATTATCAAGAAGAATTTTGAAAGAAGCGTGCTGTGAATTTTATCGAAGAATTTTTGTATGACTGTAGATGATAATCTGGTTTCTCTTCTTTTTGTTTCTCAGGCTCGTGAATACTCAAATGAACTTCGTGCAAGCATCAAGGTAGCGAAATGCCCCATAATTTCACTTGAAACTGGTACTGGACCAAATCAGATGGGAAATGTAGATACTTCTGCAGTTTCTGAAGCATATTCAAAGATGCTTGCTGCGTTCATTCCTCTTCTTGTAGATGAGGTCATTATGTTTCTTGTATTTATGTCTTAAAGTAAAACTTAATTACATGGAATTATTTAAGGTCTTCGTTTTTTTTCTACTGCAGAGTTCTTTCTTCGCCCATTTCATGTGTTTTGAAGTTCCTGCTAATGTTAACGATAACAGTTGTGGATCGGGGGAATTAAAGGATGCTAAAATGACTTCTATGCACAATGAAGGAAATGATTTCTGCATAACCAATTTTTAGATAATGCAAAGATGATACTTGTGCATTATCCTTTTGATATTTTTATGCTGACACTGTTTTCCTCTTTGTACAGGAAATAATTCATCTGAATTGCGGGCATTAAATGAATACCTTCAAGCATTACTTGATGGAATACAGGTATATCTTCTAAGCTATTATAACATGACCAGGATCAATTAGTGGATCAAGTTTAAGAAAAAATCATTATTGTATGATATAAGAAGTTACTTGATTCTGTGACTTTTCTTAGATGAGAAAGTATATTTTTATGGTCACGTTCTTGAGTCTCTCATTATGCTCTTTAGTTTATATTGTGTCTTAGATATGAATTCCAAATTTCTTAGAGAAAAGAAATTTGGAGTTCTTTTTCTCATTCACATGTTCTTAACTTAAGAATCACCAATGAAGTATAGTTTTTGTATCTAGTGAACTGTTAATTTTTTTGGCAGTCTCTCTCTTACAAATTTATCACCGGAAATTTGGGAGCAAGCCGAAGGTTGATGTTGTTATTAGATATGAACCTAATTAATTTTGTGTAACTGGAACCTTCTTTGTTTGAGTTGGCTTTAGGCTATGCCATGTTGACGGGACATGTCTTATATAATGTTGGCAACGATAATTTGTCCCATGACCTTCACTATGCTCTGATCTGAGACAACTAAATATGTTACATATCTTTCTTATCATTTTGTATTTCCAGAGAATGCTGTAATTTCTTTGATGAAACACTAAAAATCTTCAGCAAAATCAACGGCTAAATCTATGTTCATGTTAACTTTTTGTCACCTGTCAATGTGTTATTGAAATTACTGTTATCTGTAATCTAATACATGTTTCTAATTTGGTGATTCCCATAACAAGTTTTTTCATAATAATTTATGTAATATAGTTTTCTATGGAAGTCCAATGTTACTCCCACTTCTCACATCAAGCATATGCTCACATTCATCATTATTTAGGTACATTCACTTAGCTTGATGATTCTTTTTTACTTATTGTTCGCAACTTCCCAAGATTTGAGTGTAATCGTCTGGTACCTTTTTCTTCCTAATTTCCCGATAATTGCTTTTGTAAGGGTAAAAAGAAGTCCATGTCTTTACATCTGTGTTATCTGTCTTGATCATGATATGTATTTTCATCTTCTCAAATCTAACAATAGAACCTTAACGTGTATATACATACTTATCCTCATTAGATATATTACATTTTCTGCTCCTTTGTCTACACTGCATTTTATTTTCTGGAATCTTTTATCGAGGACAAATAACAAGCACCTTTACTCACTGGATCAACGGCAGACTTCACAGATCTTCAATAGTTGACATCTGTGTAATACAAAACTTTTTGTTAACATGTATGATACTTATCACTGTTATAGGAAGATTTTCATGCATTGGTAGATTGGGCGTTCAAGATCGATCCTTTGCGTTGCATTTCGCTGCATGGAATTACGGAACGGTACCTTTCTGGCCAGAAAGCCGATACAGCAGAATTTGTCCATCTGTTGCTTGATGACCTAGAAACTCGTATCTCAACGCAGTTCGGCAAGGTTAGTATCCATTAAAATGTCATACTATCTTATAGTTTTCTCTTATCAGGCTGTCAGCTATCTAATTTTGTGCCTTCTGTTCATTCTAGTTTGTTGATGAAGCATGCCATCAAATCGAGAGGAACGAGCGCAATGTACGACAGATGGGAGTTCTGGCATATATCCCAAGGTTATTTATATATTGAACTAAGATTTTCCAGCTTGTTTTATAATTCAGTTAAAAATGTCAAGGTCATGCTTTTGATCCGCACTTTTGTCCCCACATATTACAAGTAATGCTTGACATTAAGCAATTTCATATTATCTCTATGAAGTCATTAACTGTTTACTCCCTATTATTCAGGAATCACCCCGAAAGATACAGGTTAGACACCAGTTGGGATTAGGAAACTGAAAGTATATTCTTTACAGCCTAGTATTATACAGAAAATAGATTATCTTTACAACAGTGGCCCAGGAATAGGTTAGTAGAAACTTCTGAAACATTAAAAAGGGGAATGACACTTTTAACACAGATAACCATGACAACAATGTACAATATGTGGATGTGCCGAATCTGAAACAATGCCAAACATCTGGAACGCCGGCTTAGGTTACTCTGCTTGAGCATCTTTGTACACACTATTACTGCTTTTGATATTCCTGTCCTCTGGTCCTAGCCTCAGATTGCCACAATTTGCACTAAAGATATTGTCGCCAGTTGTGTCAGTTTGTTTATTTAGTTCTGGGAATCAACTCTGAGCCATCTAGGCAAACTCTTGGAACACGGATTCTACCATTGCTTCCACCATATTTCTTCTTACAGCCAGGTCTTTACTTTATGTAATCTGGTATTTTCTGCCCTCAAAATTGTGCTGGCTCATCTCTGTATCACGCAAAACAGATCTCCTAGTATTTTTCATGAGACATATTGATACATATACTTGGAGACATCATGAGCCATACTGGGACATATACTTGAAGACACTGCATAATTTGCAACTTGCAAGAAATATGTGTCGATAAACAGTTTCAGAATGTTTTTTAGACATACAAGCATATTCATGTGGGTTCTCAGATGCTGTAATTTATCAATAAGCACATTTGGGAAGAGAAACAAGTTAAAAGAGGTGCCTTCATTGGTAATGTCATGATATTGATGCTTTCCATTCCTAGGAGGAGCACATAGCATATTGCAAACTTCATTGTCCATAAAAATCATTGTTTTAAAAAGCGGACTTAGCACTGCCTAGGCCTAAGCAGTACTTAGGCCACTTGCATAGGTAGGAAAGCATTGGCCAATTATGCAGTCCGCATCATATCCGAAAGGGGTATGTTGCTTCCTTAGGCATAATAATGGATGAAGAGAGTGGGCAAAGTCAAAATTGATCACATCAAAAATTCATATCCAAGTCCATCTTAATGCAAACGGCAAGCATAGGATTTCAAATCTCCTAACATAATCCTTCCTCTCTTGATGCTAAAATTCCTAGTGCCGCTTAAGCGCCTGCCCAGGCACTAACCGCTTGGTCCAGTGTTATAAGAACCTAGCACTTTCTGAAACATCGGTACCTATGTGGATACTGTGATAACTGGAAACTGATCAAACATCTAAAACAGAATTCAGGCCTTGGTTCCATTATAGATGCATAACAAATTTGCAACAGATGATTATAAATTGAAAAAGAACAAAGATTTGTGCAATAATAGTATGAAGTTTAATAGGTGGTAGGTACAAAATTGAGGAAGTAGGTACCGGTAAGTTACTTCCGCACTAAAAAGATAGCTCCCAATGGTTGACAATCTAGTATGTTAGATTCAATAAATATTGGATGCCGTGTTACTCAAATATACATGCCAATGAATCGACTAAGAATCCATGACCTATTGACTTGTTCTGAAAAAAAGCAAACCAGTTGCTATCTGTTTCGGACACCCAATAAGTAAAACTTTCAGAAGTAAGTGAAATTATAACATCTTTTTATTTAAACCAAAAAAATATAGAGCAATAGTGCAATAAAAGTACACATGGCAAACCATCCTTATGTGAAGAAACACTTTATATAGATTAGGTGTTATAATGTTTCTTGTTTTTTAAATTACAAATTATATATCAATAAGCATCATACAAGAAGCAATTTATAATTAGGTGAGTTTATAAGGATTTGTTGGTGAATACCCCACAAGTTGATCACTTTTAAGATAAATATACTGAAGTTTTTTGACAATAAATACATTGAAGTTTTCTTTGATGCATTTAATGGAGCTAACAGTTTTATAGTAAAATTACTGCTTTAACCGTTATCTCCTATCACACCTTCCTCCTATCCATCTAAAATCCATTGAGCTCAGTTGATGACCCTCTCTTGATCGTGCACAAGCTCTTTGTCCCTTACTCCATTGAACCCAGTGCCTTCGACATGTGTTCAACGGGTTTCACCAACAACATCAAGCTTCTATCTTTCCTACTCTGAGGCTCCTCCGACATCTATCACATGTACTCGATGGGATTCAGCACAATGGAACATGAAAAGTCAACAGATACTCATCAGATTTGAGCATCCTTTTCGTTCTATGCTCCATCTAGACCATCTTCACGAATCACGACCTTGTTTATCACCCAACAGTGACAGGTCCGGCAACATTGGTCTTTCGATCCACTAGTTGATCCCCCTGCAACCCAAACCCATCGCCTCTGCAGACTCAAGATGAAGTCGGGTAGCACCAATGTTTATGCAACTGTGAGATCAATGGACGAATCCAGGGACATCTTGGGCTGACCTAGAAACTCGCCTGCCAGAGCGCACATGTGACTCATCTTGTCCTTCAACATCATCAGTGACAATGGCATCTATTGAATTTCCACCTTCCAACTTTTGCAAAATATCACTTCTTCAGCAGCATCACCATACTATATCCCCTTTCCTAACATAGATTCACCATAACTAATTATCACGTTCTATAACATTTTCACGTAACTGCTCAATTTAGAATTTGATTGTGGTATGGTAGTCTCTCTCAATGTTGATGGTTCATAAATACTTGCCATTATCTAAATCTTCATATTTTTGTGTAGATAGATCAATGTAGCTATACTCCGCATCTGTCATGTAGAAGCATGCGGCAAGTTTCAAAAGGTTTGGCCTACACAAATGTAGCTATATTCCGCATCTGTTGAAAAGCTCATGTACTTTTCAGTAAATAGCGTAAAAAATTATTTTTCACTCGACCACCTAATGCTTGACAATGGCTTTATGTTCTCAATGTGATCTTAATCCTATCTAATTATAATATATTTATGTACTAATATAGACATTTGTTTGTCTCTATCCTGCAATATAAAATATATTCCCCTATCCTGCTCACTTAGATTTTGACTCTCTTCAGTAGGTATATGTGTAGATTGAACTTAAAGATGGGTTTTTTTATTATATAGGTTTGCTACTCTTGCAACACGCATGGAGCAATACATCCAGGGTCAATCTAGGGATTTGGTTGACCAGGCATACACAAAAATTGTGAGTTATTGCACGCACCCTGGACTGATTATGTTTCTTTTCTTTTTGTGTGTGCATGATAAACCTCACAAAAGCCAGAAAGATCTGTAGGTTCGAACTTTGAATAAGTAGAAGAGAGAAGGAACATAGAGGCAGAGGAATCCGAAAAGGAGCAAAGACTAATTATGAAGGAAAGGTTACGAGTAACAGGCAACTTACTGAAACTAGAACCTCAAAACACTAAAGAAAGTATATATGACAAGGGCACTTGTTAGTGATGGGCTATGACTCTGGCTATAGTGCTACATATTGTTTGCCTCTTGTTGTATTGCAAGATTCTTTGGTTTCTTTCAATAAACTTTCCAGACGATGCACTTGGAGATTGTTTCAAGCCATAAACCATTTTCCTATTGTACTCTCCCTGAGCAACAAACCTAAGTGCTTTCTCTATAGAACTTCTTTTCAATGTTCCATTGAGAAAGGCATCTTGAACTCCAATTAATGTAGTATTCAAAGCTAAATTATGCAAGAGACTTGAGCATATTAATAAAAGCCATCTTGGATGGGGATAATGCTCTTGTTAGGCAATCTCATGCATATAAAAAATGACTTTGCACCAATCAGACATGCCTATAGTTGGGTGAAATTCATTGGGATTTAGCTTCAAATTGTAAATCCAATTATGATAATCTGCTTTCTTCAGATTTTGGAGATCCCGAGTTCCATCATCATCAAGAGTCATCATTTCCTCTTTCATATCTTTCCTTTGATTTGGTAAGGCCGTGCTTCCGATGCAGATTATGATCGAGATAGATGCACATGTGAAAAAAGTCAAAGTAGGTGAAAAGTGAAATTGTGCCTTCCTGGCATTGTGATTAGAATTTCTAGAGATCAAGATGGAGCAAGCTTACTAGGCTTTGGTACTATGGACGAGTTGAGGACTTAGGGTTTTGAAATCCACTCAGCATGATATTTATACTATTTAATGGAGTTACTGTGTCAGTGGTAGGGAGTTATATGTAGATATATCTGATGGGGAAACTTTATGTAATCTCGAATTGATTGAATAAATAGGATTCGCTAGATGAAAAGGATATATTCGTCCAGTTTGAGAGTGTTATATTCAGCTTGGATGTGACCAGTAGAGTCGTAGAAAGTGATATAAGAAATGAAGGATCATTTAGAATCGGGACTAATAGTAGAAGTATTAGTTGGAGTGGGGACTAACACTAGAAATAAAGGATCATCTAAAGTTAGGACTATAACTGTAGTTATGATGGTCTTGCGGGTATACACATAAAAATAGGATAAAAAATGAGTGCGTTCTTATGAGTTAGAGGTTAATGGTATAAGAGGTTGCTTCTATCGAGGATAAAATGAGAGAGAAATTGATTGAGATAGTTTCGTCATATATAACGCATGCCTCCCAGTGCACACAGGTTGAAAAGTGATAATATTATAGTTATGGGCAAAGAGATTTAAAGGTAGACGTAAAAGAATTTGGTTGGAATCAATAAAGAAGGATTTTGTTTAACGGAGGAGACCCAAAATAGAACTGGATTGAAGATTAGCATTCATGCAGCTGACCCCAAACATTTGGCATAAAAGAATTTGTTGTTGTCGTACTATAACACTAGTAACTCTTGTTTCCAGGAATAATCTAGAAGTGCACTTAATAGACCTGAGGTCCAACTTGGAGACACTAGCCTATTGTTGCGAGCGAAGCCCAACAAAAACATAATAGGTTGTGAAAGAAATGCTGGCTTGGAAGGAAAAGATAGGTCTGTGTTTGTGTGGGTGAACCTGAAAGCCAAGAGCAGAAGGTCATTAATGATTAATCATAAAACTGCAAGAACAACATCAGCTGATGGACGTTTTTGAACTTTCTTATGCATCAATAAAATGCAACTAACTTCTGTTAATGCCTATTTTTACACCCCACTATACCGTTCTTTTGTGGTGTCTACAAGCATGATTTTAAAGCTTGATACAAGTGCATGTCACACTCGGCCATGTAACGGCCATCTCATGACCCTCCTTTGCAAGGAAGAAACAGTTATGATATGTTCTTGTGCCTTCATAGGCAAAAATGAAATAAATTAATTAGGTACCATAATGCTCCATAAACTCGGAAAAAGAATTGAATACTTCTCAGCTTTATCACTTCTTAGAACAAATAGAAAGACAAATTTAAGTATTAGTCACAATACAAAATTTTCTAAATAAAAGAGAATTGCTCAAACCGATTCTTCATCAGCCAAAATCAAGAAAATTCATGAATAATTGTCGACAAAGGTAACACAGTACTTGTTACTAATATCTGACTCATTTGTTTGTGGACCCAAAGCGTCACGATGAACAAGTTCGGATTCGAATTAGCTGATGTACTTTATGCTAAGTGGGAGAAAGTTGAGGGAAGAGAAAAAATTATTAAGGTAATTAGTCTATAATTTATATGTTTTTTGCCCCATGTTTTCATAAATTTGAATGTGAAGCATTGAAGTATTTTCATCAAATAATATTCAAATGCATAATTACCTTTCTAGTTCTAGTTATCTACTATACACTTTGAAACATGATAAATGCACCCCAAAAATATTACAATCTACTTTGTACGAAACTTGCTTACCGAAGAGACCTACCCCCTCAAATCCAACATAGCTAAGTGGTGAGTTGCGTTCCCGAATTCCTACCACGACCCACTAGGTACCATTTACAGTGTAACTATGATTGGAAATTGGAATAACCTTCAACTGAATCATTGAATGTTACAAGCCTCTAAACTCATGCACTTTGCAATCATCATTTCTCATTTTAAGACCCTGAAAAATACTTTGATCACAAAAGAATTAGATGAATCAGTTCTATCACCAAGTAAGTTTGCTGATAAACAACAAATTCAAATGAAGATGCACATATAGACTAGAGGATAAATATACCAACAAGATAGGGTGAACAACGTTTACCTTATGCGTTAGGAAGTAACACAAAACTGAAGTAACAGAAGGAAAATATGAGCTAATACTTATATGAAACCCAATCATGATAGAGGCACCCAAGTGCGTCATCATGATAGGTATAGTTATGTGACTTATGTCTGAATAATGGTAGCTGTGACAGAAGATGACAACCTTCCTCTTCAAACTGATTTGCTGATACTCTCCCTGATAAAACACCAAAGCAGATAACTCAATGCTCCTGTGGTAGACTCTGAGATCATGGTGGATACAACCAAGCAGGTACATTTTGGGGAGAAATGGTGTTGCAGATCCTCACAGCACCTCTAGACATGTTGCATATTCTGGTTTTAGACTATTCAGAAAAGTCATCTGCCAGCTGTGGTCACTTGGAACATAATGATTTAGCTATTATATACCTTGTTAGAGCCACAAATAAGGGCCAACTACCCTTCTAAATATGATATATGATAAAAATCATACACTTCAGAGATGTTACTTTTGTCTGCATATATCACCAAGATATTCCCTTAGTTAAATAGTCTGCAAGTAGATCCATAGCACTATTGTCCAAAGGCTTAAGCAACAGGCGTAGTCTAAGTACTGTCTTGCTTCCATTCAATTTGTCATTGGAAACGGACTTTGGGCTGTATACTTCTCCTTTATTTTGTATCTGTTAGATAAATCTCTACAATTCTTTTTCCACTTTTGTTAATTATCTCCATTTAGTTTCTGATTGGCTGATTCTTCTAGAAGAAAAAAAAAATCTCAGGAGCAGAAACCGGTTTCCCTTCTTCGATAGTGTTTCAATATTTATTGTCCGTGTATATTGGGGTTGTAATTGTTAAAAACCAGCAAAAAAGGGCAAACAAGCTAATATTTTCTCATGGAAAAGAAAAGGCTTTGAGTTTACTAGCTAAGTTCGTTGAAGCTCCAGAATCCCAATATCTAAATAAATAGTATGCTTTTAACTTTCCTGCAAACTGTTACTTTTTCCTTCCTGAGCTTGTTTTCTGTAAACTGCAAAGTTAGTTTTTGCTTGCTATTTTCACATGATTTCTTATGACCCAAGTAGAAATGTTGGTTTTCTGAAATGATTTTCACGTGCTATTTTCTTTTAAGCATTTAGGTCCTTAGTAGCTTTCAAATAATATAGATTTCTCCAGCAGTTGTGAAATTGTGATTGTGAATAATATCTGCTAAATTGGTTATCGAGTTTGTTGATGGATTTGCTACCCTGCAACAGGTAAGCATAATGTTTGTGACTTTGGAGAAGATTGCACAATTCGAGCCAAAATATGCTGAGATTGTACTTCTGGAAAACTATGCTGCTTTTCAAAACAGGTTATAAATATGTATATTTATCCCCTTTATTATCTTTTCCATAAATTTGGTAGAAAAAGTTAAATTGTTATGGGTTTTATCCCTGTTTATCTATATTTATATTCTTGATATTATCTTTCTAATTTAATTATCATATGTGAAAAAGGTTTATATATAAGTGCAGCGTATTTCTGACTAGAGTAATTTATCTGACTGCAGCTTTTATGATTTAGCTAATGTGGTTCCAACACTTGCAAAATTTTATCATCAAGCAAGTGAATCATATGAACAGGCTTGCACACGCCATATCAATATGGTTATTTTTATTGTATGTAGCTTTCGTTTTCTTCCTGATTCTTCTTTCCTCTGTGCACTATCTGCTTTGTGTTCTCATAATCTTCTCATATTTCTAACATATTAACATTTAGTGGGAAAATTTATTTTCTTTGCAGCAATTTGAGAGGTTATTTCATTTTGCTCGTAGAATTGAGGAGTTGATGCAGAATTGTACACCAGAGGAGGTGAGTGAACGAATAAATATTTAAAACTGTAAGAACTTCCCTATCGGTTGATGGGCTTGTGCCTAATATTCCTTCCATTCACCAAAAACTCCTTAGTCTTAGTGAGGATTGACACACTCGCACATACACCCACTTCTATGTTCCAACTGCATGCAATTAGAACTCAGATGGTCCTCTAATTGACATCAACCAGGTTGATGCAGTTAACAAAAGCTTGTTTTAGCTTTAACATATTTGTATATTAGATTGTTACTCTCCTTGGCCTGTCAACGCTAGTTGTATTTTCCTAAAATATTCCATCTAGGTGATATGAGCTATATAATTGAAGAAAATTTAATTATTTAGCACTGTTGGTAACCTCAGGTATTATTATAATGTCATACATCGATAGGTCCTATGTTGCCTTTGTTTTCATCCTAATTTCTGCAAATCTTTTATTGGAATTTGGCTGCACATTTCTAGAGTTCTGCATGCTTGTTTTTCATGCGTGTGAGCATCTTCATGGAGACATCGAGCAGTGTAGATAATTATTTTACAGTGTTATTCTGAAAGATCATGTGGGTCATCACATGAATGATCTTTACCCTCTTCAATATTTTTACGTTCTCAAACATCTAAATAAGATGAATTAATTATTTTCTACTCATGAACAAGGCAATCTCATGCTTTGCATTAACTCAGCCTTACTCTTGTATGATTGAGAGTTTTCCATGAGCTTTAAGGTCATAATGTTGCATCTATGCTTCCACTATCTTTTCCAATGCAATAAAAGGGGAGGTGTGCACATATTCTATTAAAATTGGGGGAGGGAATCCATGTTCTCTACTTCCAGCCCATCCATACTATATGCTTTTTTCCATCTTGTATCAGTTCTTCTATCCCCAAAATTTGTCTTTTGTTTGCAATTACCTCTACTTTTGTTTTATTATAGGAACAATCGCTATAGGTTTTATTGTAAGGTAGTGGGGTCCCATGATATTGTGTCACTATTTTCAGAACTTCAGATCATTTAGGAAGAACTTCATCGTAGGTTCACACTTTACGTGTTTTACAAAGAAAATCTAGTGTTGCAAGAGCATATGGGATTTTATGGGTCTAATTATCAAAATTGTGTTCCATTAAATAGGCATTTAGGCCTGTCAAGTTCATCCTGACGTTGCCTTGATTGGGTTCAAATGAAAAATTACACCAACTGGAATGATGCCTGTTATGCAATTTTCCTAAAAAAGTTCTATAAGCTAATGCAACAGGTCATGTTCCACAATGTGGGAGTGCTAAACGAAGAAAAATTACCATTGGTGTAATTATTAGTTTTATAATTTTCTGTTATGCCTTAGTCGGAAGGACTTTTTACTTGTTTCCTTAGTATTCTTTGGGTTATCAAGAGAGATAAGATCCACCTCTTCTTTGTTAATTGGTCAGTAGAATTTTATCAACTTTCTTTCTTGTAATAGTTGCTGCTTTCTTCGTATTCGATGCAAGTCTGAGTAGTTTTATTGTATTGCAAGTATTGGCCTTTAGGCAATCTGCAGTAGTTCTACGATTCGACCATTGCACACAGGAGATATAATTTGATTAAATCCAACACATCATTCAATTTATGGCACCCTTTTTTTCAGTTGGAAAGCATTTGAAAGCCTCTCCAAAGTAAAGGAAATCTTGTTATGAGGAGACTGTTCTTTTTATACTTAATGACCATCTTTCTGCTCAGATACATGCTTTACTAGTTTCCTGTCTCCATGCCTTTCACATGTACAATATTCTCCTTAAAAAATGTAGAAAGAAGTACTCCAAACCCTAAAGTAACTAGTTTAGTTCAACCAACTTATAGTGTCTCCCTCCCTCGCTCTCTCAAATGAATATCTCTGTTGTTTTGAAATAAACTGCATGTTAATTTTCTTTCAGAGAGTTTTCTCACCAACTGTTCTCTATTACTCCCAAGTATTACTGATATTCCAAGTGGACAATGCGATCCTATACTCATGCTTAAGCTTCTTAATCATGTCCCATTCTATAATTCTCTAAACTGTTTCCATTTGGCACTTGATGCCTGGTATGCTGCACTCCTTGTCGTCGCAAAGTAAATGCAAATACTTTTTCCCGTATATTGCATGAACAATTTGATATTCCAAGTGACTATTGCAATCCCATGCTCATACTTAAGCTTCTTATCATGCTCCCCTTACTATTCTCTAATCTATTTCCATTTCACTCTTGAGGCCGAATATGCTGCTCTCCTTGTTGCAGAAAGTAAATGCAAATGCTTTCAATTGTCTACTGCATAAACAATGGAAAGAGACAATATGAAGGGGAAAATAGAAGAAGTGGAAACACAAGTATTTTACATGGGAGACTCTCTTGATGTTGGAGGGAAAAGCATGGGGCCTATCCCAGCCAACCTTTCATCATAAATATGTTATTATTACACTGTTTTAGTCTTTTTTTCTAGGCACACTAGAGAATTACTAGTATATAAACTATTAACCAAAGAGGCAAGAAGTCTTTAACACAAAACGAACTGAAGTCATTCTTTATTACTACGCCCGAGATGATCTCCTTGGATTCTGATGGATGAAATTTTGATGGATATGAACCTCGGTGTTGCCCCAAGCTTCTCTATCTATAGGAGAGATCATGACCATTGAGCTTCCCATCTCATGGAGTTCAGAAAACTTTATATTGGCGAGGTCAATATGTCATTCTTTTAGGAGACTTTACATCTGTTAAGAAGTATTATCTGCCTTTCGAGGTGACTTCCCACCTCCTGATAATTAGTCATAACATGTACTTTTTGACTTTTTCATCTTCCTAGAAAGTTCTCTTCCAAGAAGGAAATATCTACAAGCTAATAAGTTCCATTGATGCCATAGACTTGTGAATTATTTATAATTCCTGGTTTGAAAGGCTTTTCGGAATTCTGCAAACTTTCATTTATTCATATTGTTCTATGTTGATTGACTTTGCCCTCTATGTATATTGCTGTATGGAGCCTCAGGAAGCATGTTATCGTGAATTTTCTAGCGCAAGTTTCTTAGAGATGTTATTGTTGTGCCTAATTCAGCTTTAATCTGCAGATCCCTTTCCAGGTTGGACTGTCAAAAGCCGATCTCCGGAAAATGTTGAAATACAGCATGTCAGGAGTAAGTATAATCAGAAAGAACTTCATGCACTTACTCTCAAGTCCCACTGATACTTATTGTGCGCGATTATATAATTTGAGTATGCATTTTATCAGAAAGCCCTGCTCTGTGTAGGGCGTTCTGAACCTTAGCATGAGGAGTAATGGGGGGCATGATGATAATTTCCATGCCCCCTCTACAGTTCACATCATCTCGCTCTGTGGGTTCTGATAGGATTATTTATTGTAAAATTAACTATCTTTTGACAGGTTGACAAGACTATATATGCCATGTATAAGAAGTTGCAGAAGAATTTCACTTCAGAAGAGCTGTTGCCTTCTCTATGGGACAAATGCAAGGTATCCTCTGTACTCTCATCTAAAAAGGAACGTGATGAATTTAGTAGTCCATCTGAATTTGAAGTCTGATCATGTGAAAAATGTTGGTCAGATACTACTATTCTTTCTTAAATCCGAAAAATCATAAAATAAACTTCTTTACTTATGATTAACAATGTTATTGGGATGGAAAAGTAATTTGATGTGCTGCTAACCTTTTATGCTAGCATTGTGTGACATAGGAGCCTCAACTGTATTTTCACAACGAGCTAACATAGGTTGAAGGAACAGACACTAAATCATAGATGTAAACTATCATCTATTTACACATGGAATTCTTCCCGTTTATTTATGATGATTCACCATTGTCTTGGCCTTTTCCCATCAAAATGGGATCAGACATGAAGTTCAAGCCTTTGTGAAGTTTAGGATTGCTTATGAGTTTTGTGCCAAATATACTGCTACGTAAACCAAGGACAAGAGAGGAGCTTGTAACAGGAGTCGTCTAGTTAGCTCATAGGAATAATTTTATCCTCTTCGTTATGTTATGTAGTTGAATCTTATGCAACCAAGGATTAGCCCTCTAAAATTTCTTTGAACTTAGAAGGAGGTGTTGAGGCTTTGTTTTGATGAATATAATCACATGAGCGAGGCTTGGTATGGGCTGAAGACCCAAACATGAGAATATTTTTCTATAAATTTTCAAATGATTGGACTCTAAACATTCTAAATCTGAATAATAATCCTTCCTTCAGAACTACTTACATGCTTAAATAACATGCAAGTGTGTCCTCAACATCCTCCGACTAAAACACAAATTATTTAACTGTGTTAAAAGTAGTATACACTTTATATATGTGATCCTTTCAAGTTGGCCTTCATATACACGAAGGGTATGGAGAAAGATTCGAAATAGGATGGAGCAGAAGAGAGACCTATCCCCTTCAGTCCCAATACAAGATCTCAAGAGTAATTCACTTTCTCCCTGAAATATTTAATAGGAAAATTTTAAACAGACCTTCTCAAAAACAAATTTATCAATTTCAACCTATTTGCAAAATATTTATTAAAATCGATCTAGTTTCAACTATGTTAGCAAAACTGGATCGATTTTGGAAAAAAAAAAGTTTCCGAACTCCACGGGATTGGCAATTCTATAGAGCTAAATAATGTGTTAAACTCTATGGGACTTCCAATCCCGTAGACTCTACGATATTTTTTTTTGTCAAAATCGAACTAGTTCCCAAAATCTTTATTAAAATCAATCTAGTTTTAGCCGACGTGGTAGGTCTATTTTGATAAATATTTTGAGAGTAGGTCAATTTTGATGATTATTTTTTTTGAAGGGCCTAGTTCAACAAATTGTCCTATTTAATAACGGGAGACAATTTACTTCAATGGGAAGAATTTCACCTCTTGATGAAATTCTCTCTAATCTGTTGTTTTCTCTATCTACTTCTTTTCTGACATGCTAGTTTTTTCGGAATCTTTTCATGCAAGGAGCACTTTAGTTTTTGGTCTACCATAGTCTGTAAATAACCCCAAGGCTGTTGAAATTCCATTGGAGAAACCTCCTTCCGATGTGAATCTTTAGTTAACTAAACAATTGACCTCCTATCATACAAGCGCTAAACAGGTGATATTAGTTCAAGATTATTGGGTAGATCTTAATTGTCCAAGAATTCTCCTTTTTAGGTTTGTGATCAGGACTCGTGTTGTTTTGTTGGATGCTCGGACTAAAAATTGGATGGCTGCGATTTCAAATAGGAATTTTTTTCCCTTTTTTTGTTTTTATTAGACTAGGATTGATAGTTGTATTATACCATAAATCATTAAATTAAATGATCAATGTCAGTGAAAATACTTATTATTTAATTAATTAAAATTTTACTGTTAAAGTAATATCAAATTAATTTCTTAAACTAGATTATCCATTTACGTAGTTAAATATGTGATTATTAAGAATATAGAAACGTAAAGAAGAACGAAAATATGTAATAAAAACAATTAGTATTTTTGGCTAATATCGTAAAAGAGATGTATAAAATAATTTTGTTAGTCAAATGATGCATAATCCCTTCCCTCAAATTCCCAAAAACCGAAACCATAACCAAAACTTTCCCACCGTAGCCCTATATGCATAACCCCTCCCCTCGATCTCCCACCCAAAACAAACTTCTTACTCGTAAACAAAATATTTCTCATCCAAACCCTTAATTGTTAAATGCAAAATCCTCATACTCTGTTCAGAGTCGTTTAACTTTTCAATCCAAAGCAGGGGCTACAAATTCGGACTTCTTTTTTGGTTTTGGATTCTTTAGTCCTAATCCTTATATCGGCTTTTATTTATTATCATGAAAATTAGAGGGAGAAGCAGGGGAGACATCTTTGCAAATGATTATTACAAAACTAAACGGTAGAAAACATACTATATCTGATTTCTGAAAGACTTCAACAATTTGTTTTGCAGAAAGACTTTTTGGATAAGTACGAAAGTTTTCTTAAATTGGTCGCGAAGATATATCCCAGTGAACCCATTCCCTCTGTCTCAGAGATGCGAGACCTCCTCGCCTCCATGTAGACGTGCAGAAATTTTGACCTCTTTTTCTCAGGAAGAGCAAAAGTTTTCCTCTTTCCCATTTATTTTCAAATCTATTGAACTTATTAAGATATTGTATCCAAGTAAGTTTCCGTTGGTTTTGGAGCAATTTGCTGCTAAATTGAACTTTTCTCTCTTTTTTATTTAGCATCCTCATTTTAATTGCTAGAACCTCATTGTGACTATAACGACACCTACTCCTACTGCCGGTGTGTTTATTTATAAGATAGATCACAATTATCAACGTCATGGATTCACAGCAACAATTGCTTCTATTCCTAACTTTGTGACTCCATTTTTTGAATGATTCGTGAGTTGGAAGATTTCGAGTTGGGTCTACCTCTTTCTCAGAAACGCACAATCGCAAGAAAAAGCAAATGCTCAAGATAAAAACGTTGATGTTTTCCGCCCTTGGCTATTTATCTTCGGTATCTTTTTTACGAATAATACTAAACTTGTATGCGCCAATTATGCAAGTTGATTTTACCTTTAATAGGCAAATTTCATTGACAAATATCGATTACAACCAAAACAAAATACTAGTTGGCATGAGTGCCTTTTATATCTAAAAAAAGGTATCAAAGAAATTCCGAGGAAACGCTTGCGTGTAATCTAAACCAGCGTGTTGTGCTCTTTGTTGAGGCACGAGAAATAGATTTAGTTGTAATAGACGATGAAAGGCGTCGGAGCCTATATTTATTTTTGACATTAGATATCGTCGGAGAAAAAGCTGGACGAAGGCCAAAGAAGCTTAAGCGGATGCAAAGTCCAAAGAAGCGAGCAAACTCGAAAGAAGCTTAAGCAGATGCAAGTCCAAAGAAGCGAGCAAACTCCAGCAGACGCAATTTTTTACACTTCTGATCGATCAATTCTCTCACGCGGGCACTGAACCCAATCTCTCATGGGAAGGAGAGGGCCAGGGAAATACTTGGATTAGGGAGGAGGAAGCGGAGACGATTTAATAGTCATACAAAGCATTAAGCTCTGCAGAGATGTCGGGGAGTGATGCAACGCAAGGACCCGGCCTGGGGTCACTCAGAAATAAGGATGAATATAAACCAAAACTTGCATTGTTTTCCCAGTAAGGGCATTTTTGATTAATACGAGTGTTAGAAATAAGAATTAGATTAAAGAAATAACTTTCAAACTGACGAAGTAGAAAGTGGCAGGAGTAATATTCTTTCTCTTGGATTCACAAGTTGTTACAGGGATGGAAATATTACTCCATTTTCATTCACATTTTTATTTTTGATTTACGATGGTGTTGGGAAGAGATAAATGAGGACTTTGGAGATTTTATTTATAAGTGACGAATATTCGCATCATAAAATGATAATAATGTCCATTAATTGATTAGATTTAAGCTACTTTCAAGATATTTCTGAACCTTCAGGTGCGGAAAAATGTTTTAAGAAATAGAGTTGCCGCGCAGACGCTATATTAACATTTAATTAAGTGCAACAAGTAAGTTTTTAGAAAAATAAACACACTCTTTTGTTCGGAAATAGCAGAAGTAGTTGTTACATCTTTTATTTCACATATTTCGTAGCTGATTCCGTGTGAACAAATAGACCCTAAAGGTTCCCATTTAACCCCTAAAGTGAGCAATTAAAGTGTCCACGTAAAGAACCATTTTCGTTCTATTTAATAATGTTTTTAGCAAAACAAACGCTCCCATTAAAAACTCCCATTAAAAACAATGAAGAAGCATTTCCTTTTGTTTTGCTTGAGGGACACAATTATCAGTTTGGTGATCATATGGGAAAGTTTTTGGTGTTTAGCAGGAAAAACAAAGTATGAAAGGGCTTTGTGAAAATACACCAGAAACAATATAGGAAAATTGTGATAAATTCCATTCCTTGGTTAAGAGCCCTTCCTATTAGATCAAGGGGCCGTTTGGTTCGCTTAAAAGACCGCCGAAAAGTCTTTTCCTCTCATGACATGGTATCCACATAGGACTTTTTATTTCCCTTAGTTTATTTGTTTGTGTTTGGTCGCGAAGGGGGCTAGAGTTTGAAGCGGCGGAAATTAGCTCCACCTAAGCCAAATCTCTCCCTCTGATTTCCTTCCAAATCGAGCAGAAATGGTTGTAAACTCCATCACTTGAGCGGAAATGGTTCCAAATCAAGCAGAGCTGCCGATCGTAGTTCGTAAAGCTCTAAGAAATCCGAGGGTGCCAGAGAGATACCTTTCCACCATGAATTATCTTCTCCTAACTGATAGTGATGAGCCAGAGAACTATGAGGAGGTACAGTAGACCGGCAAAGCTTGGGGCGAGTGGGAGTCTGCCATGGAGGAAGAAATGAAATCCTTGACGAAGAATGGAACTTGGGAGCTCGTAAATCTTCCAAGAAGGCAAAAAGCTCTTCACAATCGGTGGATTTATCGGGTCAAGGATGAAGCTGATGGACGGAGATGCTACAAGGCGAGACTTGTAGTGAAGGGCTATGAGTAGAAAGCACGGATAGACTATTCTGACGTTTTTGCTCCCGTCGTCAAGTTGACCACGATCCGGACTGTGTTGAGCATTGTGACAGTTCGAGATCTCCATCTAGAGCAGATGGATGTGAAGATGACACTCCTTTATGGAGATTTGGAGGAAGAGATCTATATGCTTCAATCAGTGGGCTTCAAGGAACGAGGCAGGGAGGGTCACATGTGTCGCTTGCGTAAGAGCTTGTATGGCCTGAAGCAAGCTCCGCGACAATGGTACATGAAGTTCGAGGACTTTATGGAGGAGAATAGTTTTCTCAAATGCAACACATACCACTGCTGCTTCATCAAGAGGTATGATGAATCCTATGTGATACTCTTGATTTATATTGATGATATGTTGATTGTAGGGCCCGACTTGGCCCGCATTGAGGAACTCAAGGGGTGTCTCTCCGAGTGCTTTGAGATGAAAGATCTGGATCCAACAAACCAGATTCTTAGGATGTGGATCATCAGAGACAGATCAACACGTCGGCTGAGGTTCTCTCAGAAGGCCTATATTGAGAATATTCTTAAAAAGTTTGGTATGGAGAAAGCTAAACCAGTGGGTTCACCGTTTGCGAGCCATTTCAAGCTATTGAAGACCAAAATACCAGAGACTGTTGAAGAGCATGGGTTCATGGCCAACATACCATACGCATCTGCCGTTGGGAATTTGATGTATGCAATAGTGTGCACAAGGCCAAATATTATAAAAGGAGTGGGAGTTGTGAGCCGTTTCATGAGCAATCTAGGGAAGCACCATTAGGGTGCGGCCAAGTGGCTTCTACGCTACTTGAGATGCTCGTCCGACCGTTATCTTGAGTATGACGGGGCGGATTTACAGCTCGATGGCTTTTGTGATGCAGACTACGCCGGTGACATAGACTCAAGAAGGAGCACGAACGGTTACATCTTCATCTTGGGTGGTGGAGCGATAAGTTGGAGATCCAAGTTACAGTATAGTGTGACTATGTCGACAACCGAAGCCGAGTACGTGTCTGCAGAAGAGACAGCAAAAGAGTTGCTAAATAATTATGACTTTTTTTTTCTTTGCGCGCCTTTTTGGCTCACAAGCTGATATCTTTAGCGATCAGCAAATTTCAAGATATGGATATTTTTGCAGAGTCCTGTGGTCATGAGATGTATATCAGGAAAAATTGCAAAATAGACAGTTTTTACTAATTATTTAGCAAAATAGACCGTTTTGCTAAATAATTAGCAAAATAGACATCTTTTTGGCCAACAGGCCAAAAAGAGGTCTATTTTGCAAAACCGCTCAGAAAACATACGGGATTAGTAGTCCCGTATGTTTTAATCACGGATTAGTGAAATTTTCTACTCAGAAAACATACGGGACTAGTAATCCCATATGTTTTCTGAGTCACTAATCCGTGATTAGTTGGCTCTAAACATACGGGACTAGTAGTCCCATATGTTTTCTGAGCCTTATTTTTCAAAATCAACCTTTTTTTTCAAAAGATGTCTATTTTGCTAATTATTTTTCAAAGTGGTCTATTTCACTATATATTTCATAAAAATGGTCTATTTTGTAAATTTTCCCATGTATATTTCCTGTCATATATGGGAGGAGAGTGTTCAGTTCTTCACCACTTATTATAAGAGCTATTTGTTTCCGTTGGTTTTCGTTAGAAATCCATAAGAAAATGTGAGCTTAAATAACATACGGTTTTATTTCGGACTCACTCTTCAGCAGCAAATATTTCTGTTTGTTTACTATGAATATAAGTTATGAGAAACTGATGCAAAGTGTTATTCAGCTTAACAAAAGACAAAATAAATTTTATGTTGATCATTTCCAATAAGAAGAGTCATTTTTCTGACTTCCAATTTTGAACAACTAAAGATATATATAATTCCCATCTTAGGGTTTACTATCCCTTTTCAGCATCTAAAGATAGTCTAAGTTGATATTAGTAAACAAAAACAATAAGAATTGATTAAAAATATCCGGTTAAGGAATAAAAAGTTAAAAAATATTATAGCTTAAAATTATCGTCGCCATATAAATTAAAGCAACTGTATAAAATTTTACTAATAAGTTGGAGCAGCAAAACACATTAGTAACATTAATTGATAGATGTTTAAATTCATAAAAATGATAAAAGATTATAATATAATAGTTTAGCATTAATTAATTATAATTTAGAAACATTGATCTATGATGTTAATAATATTTATAGAGTAAAAGAATACAATGAATTACGTATGGAGAAACTATCAGAATGTTTAGATATATCCTTCAAAAGAATCAAGCTATTTCCATTGCAAATGGGACAATAACGAAAGTAAATCTAAAATTCAGAAAACGTCCATGAATCATTTGAATTGGCTTTAACATAAGACATGTCTATTAAAGAAGCACCAACTGAGTTACACTGAAGAATAATTTAATAATTTTATCCCAATCAAAGAAGAATTCTCTATGAAAGATATAAGAAAAATTAGAAAGCATTCATAAATGTCATACTTTGTTCTCCAAATACTAAAGAAATTAAATATTAATATTATAATATAAGGTAAATTGGCCATAAAAATGCAGGTATTTAGTTTAGATCTTTGTGAAAAATGATAGGGATAGAGCAAATGTAATATTACAGACATAATAGAAACTCTTATTGGATGCACATTTC